CACACTCACACATTGATATATTCCTGTAAAAAATTAGGTACATTTATACAGTTTACACAGTCTGTATTCAAAGAAATTAGGTTGTGTTGTCCACTCTCCATATACTACAAGTTAGGAAACTGTGCAGCATTCAGACAGTGGATCTATTAAGTGCAGTGACTAGAAACTCAACAGTAGCCATGCAACTGTCCATGTTACAGAAATGCATCTATTTCTGTAACATGGACATGGCTGTGCAACGTGTAGAAAAAAGTGTGAGACTGTTTTTACATACTGCTTTTGATGTTCCACTCGCTGGCTCGGTTCGAGTTCTAGAAGAAGAAATAAAGGTGATGAGAGCTTAGAACAAAGCACTTGTACCCAACCAAAAGCAATGAAAACTGATTATAAAACCTCAACATCAAGATGTTATGTTCTGATAGTCTAGTGAATGTGGAAATTTATTTGTATACATAAACTGTTCTCTCTTACTGCTTCTGTAAACTAATATCCATACAAAAAGCTAACACACTAGTCATAAAGACTACAGTGCTTTAGGGGTACTTACTTAACACGTGTTTTGCTGGTAGCTTTAACTCCTCTAACAGAGACTCTTCTAACAATTACCGAGGAGTTCTTAGGAATCAGGGCATTATCATCTGTGTATTCTGAGAACACCACCAATACAGAAGAAAACATTAGTCAGTTTGTAAGAATGTATATTAATATGGAATTACATAGCACTCGAGAGAATCCCTTTACAGACATAAAAGCAAAATTTTATATGCAACATCACACTTCTGTCCTCTCAACACACTAACAGTACCTTTCAACAAGTCTCCAGGTTTGAGAATCAAACACCAGCAGCAAAACCTTTTCCCTTCTTTTCAAACACTTTGGATGCCAGCAGCAAAATGGTCTCAAAGTAGAGTCTGCTAATGCATGAGGTTCTTTCCTGACCTAGCAACTTGGTTTTGCTACTGTTAGGCCCAAGAGATCTTTGGAGAGAAACAAGCCACTGCAAAGTCCCAGCTGCAGAAACCAGATTCTAAAGTCTCACCAACTTGCCCCTCAACAAAGCAGGCACTCGGCTAAAGCATGAAACCTCCGTGCCGTTGCTTTCAGAGCTGTTCACTAAAAATGATTCCCCTGTCCTGTGAGTGCTGGGGACTGACAGAACACAGAAGAGACCCACCATCTCACTGTTTCTTGAGCTTCATCCATGGACAGCCACCCTTGTCAGCTGCTCAGTGCTGTACATTCAAATGGAAACGGAACTGGCAGTCCTAGAATTTGGATCACAGAAACCTGAGGGGTTTTTTGGGCTTGCTTTCACAAGTAGGGCAGAACTGGCTCAGACTAAAGTGGTATCTCCTCTTAAGTTAATTGTCTAGTCTAAATAAGCCAAAGGGACTTGTATTCTTTCAATTCACTTTTTGCAGAGCAGAGAGACTCAAAGGAAATTAATTACAAAGACAAGTCTTCTGAACAGCCTTTTGAAACCATGGTGTGCCTGAAGGTCTCCATGCTTTGCCTTGGCTTACACCCTGTTAGTCTTTTGAAGAGGAGGAGCTACCTGAGACACTCTGAGTGAGTAAGCCTCAAATGTAAAGACGTCTCCATGTAAAGGGTTTTTACATTGTACATGCACAAGCTGGATAGGACCCAATGTTTTAAAAGTACTATCAGCAGCCATTCCCTGTAATCCGCCTACAGTTTTAACTATTAAAAGCCCTTAACCTTTGGAGAACGAATAAGAATGATGGCCTGAAAGGCAAAGTACTACTAATGACACAATCCAAAGCTTTTACGGAAGTTATACCCTGAAAACAACGTCTAGAGCTCTGCTCAAATGGAGAATCTCACCATTACACAACTACCTGTCAAGATGAGACTTTTTGATGTCGGAGGAGCTCAAACAGCACTGAGGCCCAGACAAGCAACTGGGAGATGATGCCAGCTGCAGCTCTGGAAGCCCAAAGCAGCTGTTTCCACCTGCCGAACGGAGTCATACAGAGTGGGTGTTCTTGATCACAAACCACTGGACTGAGATTTCAGAGGCACAGGATAAGCAACAGTGGCTCCACAAAGAGGCAGGAGTTTGCTATGCCTGTGCCCAGCTGAGGGTTGTGATAGGTCTGCAGAAGATTGCAGGTGGCAGTACCTCTCCTAGAGGGAGGCTGTATATATGAGCACAGCAACCAGTGCACTTATTCTCCAATTCTGCAGGCCTGCAGAGGTCAGCTGGAACATGCACAACAGGTTTATGATACAAAAAGAGGAATAGGTCCTCTTTTGTATTTTATGATAATTCGTTGACCATTAGAAGAGAAGCACTGACATCTGCCTTCTGAACAGACTGTCCTTGCATGCAGATATATACAAATAGAGAGAGATGTTTGTTTTCAATCTGCTTGTGAAGTGCACAGGGAAGAGACCTCCAGCCATCTAATACCAGACTGACAGAAAAATGAATTCCCAATGGCAAATTGAAGAGTGACAATAACGTGGTGAAGTAAAGGCTTCACTTGCATAGGACACTTATTACAGCACATATTTTTATGTGGGACTTGAAGTATCCCACTAGCTTGGTCACTGAGGCAGGGAATTTGTGGAAGAGGGTTTACAAACAGCTGAGTATGCTGCCAAGTTAGTTTTGTGAAGGGACCCGACACCTGTTGGCTTTCATACATTGATTTTTCCTTCACCTCAATTGAGTTCATTTTGGTGATGAAATTGTAGTAAAGGTGAAGTCAAACCATGTATACTTAAAGTTAACTTTTTTGGTTTTAAATAGGAAAGGACTAAAGCTGGAGAGTTATTCCTAAAGTCCCTGGAAATTTCTGTTTGCTCGCTTTGAATTTAACAGCTGCTAGCTTAGTCTAACAGCTCTCAGACAAAACTGGCACCTCCCAGCAGGAACTTGTTCCCCGCAGACCCTTGGCAACTCCCAGAAGCTGCAAAGCAGTGTCACTCTGCCTCGCCACGACTCCACATCTGCAGACTGAGCGGTGACATCATGCTCAACAGGGCTACTTTTCACAGTTGTCCAAGCAGAGCCCCAACAGAAATGTTCAACAAAGCTGGAGCCAACACCATTGTTAATCCCTACTCCCTTCTAGCACAACACTTGTTTTACTGCCAGTGATGGCCAGCAAGCGGCTACTGGGCTTTTGCAAGCACTATATGTTGCACATCAGCCACATAGTCTTCTACGCCCAGCTCCGTGTCTAACAAACAGATCGGAAGGTAGCTGCCAGCTACAAAAAAATGGTTCTGTGAGGTCCCCACTCAAGCCACTGCTACTGATTGTAGGGACCATCAGGGCTGTGGGGATGTGGGGACATGGGGACAGTGTGGGCACGTGGGCACCACTGCTGCCACCATGATGGGAACCCAGGACCCTTGGGGTGACAGGGGTGACAAGTCCCCAGCTGGGGGACACTGGCAGAGAACACAGGACAACACTGGGTGACCCCCAGGGACACTGAGGTACCCCTCCATTCCCTGTCCCCATAGAGGGGTCCCAGGACACTTGGGGACACTGGATGACCCTGGGGGGGACACCTAGAATTCTCACTGATGTCAGGAGTGCGTGATTTGCTTGGGCTAGAAAAGCAAGTGGGAGAAGAGTGGGGTGATTCCTGTAAATGCAGGAGAGGGAAATACCACTTTGGGAGAACAGTTACTAAGACTAGAGTGTAGGCACCAGAAAAAAAATGTGTGCTGCCTGGCCCTGAGTCACTTTTAAGCTGCATACTGGAAGAAATCTCATTAATGCTTAGAAGATTTGGGTTCTGCAACAGCCTTCCAAGGGAAATAAAGAAAGGAGGCAGCAACCAGCCAACCCCTGACTGCTTACTATGAAGTTCAGTAACCTTTAGATGTGCCTGGAGATCTCTTCCAATTTCTCCTTCCTCCAAATTAACTGCCTCTGTAGGCATTGTCTTGTAAGATACGTGTTCTCTCTTCACTTTTTAATTGCTCTGATGTCTTCTTTTTTGAAACACTGAACAGTTGCTGATCAAGTATTTTGATGGTAAAAACCACTACGCTGACAGGATTGTTTCACTTGTGAGTTGTCCTTAGGTACCAATTCAGATAATGCGATTTCATATGGCAAGAATTATACTTTTTAACCAGTTAACAAGCACAGGAAGGACTTTACCGTGTTTTAACTCCTCTCCCATTACCGCTGGCGTTGATGCGGGTACCTTGTGTGTAGAGTTCTGCTGTGGAGAGGCTGGGGTGAGGATCCCCATTACACGATACCAGTCTGAGGAGTTCACCTGTGATATTAAAACAATTGTGATTAGCATCAACTTAGGCTAGAAAAAAAGTTTAAAGGCTTCTGAATTCAATGTTTACACACCCTAGGGTCTTATAGTGGTAAATTAAGATTGCTGTTTTTGGGTTATGTCAGCAGTACAGGATTTGGCCATTCCCTAGATAAGAAAAGCTGGTAACCATCCATCTAAAACTCTGCCATGTAATTCAGGGTAGAACTGAATGTTGCCCACATAAATCTTATATGAAGAACTACCTCTAGAAGTGTTACTTCTTTCTGCAAATTAAAATAAACAATGGCTCTTACCATTTTGAAAAAAAAAAAAGATAACTTGTTCACAAGAGCAGAAGCCAAAGCTTTTGAATAGAGTGGACATGTTCTTGCTACCAGCATTGTACAGGAAACCCCACCAAGAAATCCCAGCAGGTTGGAGTAAATACTATATCCTAGACCGGAGACACTGGAGTTAGCCTGCAGTCTTTCCAGACCCAAGGATATTCCTTCAAATCTGCAGCACCAACTTCACAATCTATAGAATACTCAGTACACTACAGCCTCAAAAGGTCAGTTGTTACTGCAGTGCAATGAGGCCAAAATTGTTGGTCCTTAACAGTGATGAGAAGAAGAACTATTACCACACCACTTCCCAAAATTCTGCTACTCTGAAATTTGCCTACTCTGCTATGGCTATTGCTTCACTCCAACCTCCCTTAAGAAAAAAAATTCTGCCATTCTTCTAGCACTTGCTCTAGCCACATGCACAAACAATACTTATTCCTTACAGATCAAGCTTTTATACTTAACTTGGCTTTTTTATCACCTGTAGTCAGGTTCCTGATAAGCAGTAAAGCACCTTGTCTTGTAGTCACGCCTCTCTTCTCCCCACTCTACCCCCATTAAAAAACACACCCACTCTACCCCATGGACAGACCTTGAATCTAAACTAAAAACCAGATTTTTGCTTGAAAACTCTCATTTAAATGGCTATCCAAAGCTGAAGTACTTCTAATGGTCCTATTTTTTCAGCATGAGGTGCCTCTGAAAAGCTTAAAGATTATGAACAATCACCTTCCTCATGTTTTGTTCACAGTTTAATCGCACAGAGCGTGAGCCGGAAGTTCTCTTCCTTTAGCACTAGATGTAGCATTTCATTGGCAACTCTAAGAAAAAAGCTGAAGTACAGAAGATCCTAGTAACAGGTACAGGTCTGTTTTATGCTACACCGGATCAATAGCTTACAATTTCTCATTCAAATCTATGAAAACAAGTGTGGATTACTTGCTTTGTAGTATGTTAAAAATTATAGATTACACATAACATTCAGTACCACTTCAGGTAACTGGTGCCCTCAACAGCTTTGTCGTAGTTTGTAGACTATCGCCAACCATTTTTAATAAGGCCTTTCTAGATGATTCAAAAGCCCGGTTTCCTTGGACAGCCAGGAACAATTTAACCAGTCACTGCTAAACAGCAAGTAACTTAGGCTTTGGGTATTTTAAATATATATATATTTTTTTTTAATGAACTACCCCACATTCTTCTCTACCAAGTGTTCTGCCTATTCCTCTGAAGCAGTCTCTGTGGCAAACTGGAACAATGCACACACCCTGATCCAAGAAACATGAAATACAGGTCTAAAACACACAACTCCTTGAAACATCTAAATGGAAGTCCACTCGCCACCTCCTCAGATATCAGGTACATGGGAGATCATCAGTTTATGCACCTTGTACAGAAACTGGAGTTGTGTAACGTGCTTTTTAAAGATTAATAAATATGCTCACCATTTAAGCTCAGTATACATCTCATATCCAGGCTTCTCAGATGCCAGTCATCTCCGAGATCAAGATTATCAGAAACCGTTTGCACAGACGGTCTTGCAAACATCAGATCAATCTTAAGAGGAAAACATCTGCACACCGGGAGTTCTAATGCTGCACTGTATGCAAAGAGCACACTAGTGGGGGACAGTTAATCAAGTCTAAAAAAGAGTGGTCAACATTTGTATTTAGAACCATGTGACTACAGATACATCTCCCAAGAGATTTATTTGCCAAAAGACTCAAGAAAATTGCTATAAGTACCATACTTTATTTACAAAATTTTTGTTGTAACCCCCCTTTCTTGTTAACCTAGGGAAAGGAAGGGTTTTTTAAATTGAAAAAGATACTCTAAACCTAGAATTTCCATTAAAAGGGAACTTAAAATTAATCATAGAATTAAGACGTAAGTTCAACCACCTCAGCTGTACTTCAGCAAAGGAGAGAGCATTTTCTCTATGTGGTAAGCCCTCTTGATCCTGAAGCATCTGGTTCATATCACAGTCTGAGGCAAGGAAGTTATTCTGTGAATGTCTGCACCAGACAAGAGGCCACAAGAAGGTCACAGAATAAGCATCTTCATGAGAGTGATACCAGGCAGCAACCTGCTTAGGTACTACAGCACGCAGGTCTCCCTTCACTGTATAAGAGGGAGTCAAGATACAAGGATTCCTGCAGCTGACAAACCCAGGCAGGAGTCACATGAGTACTTGTCATTTCCAGATCACTTGTCTCATGACCACTTCATTTTTGATTTGCAACAAAGCATTTAGTCTGCTGACATGATTCACACAGTGAACTACACCGTACCCATCCCCCTGAAGAAAGCCAGCTTGTCCGAGCTGGGAGGAGTTAGCAAGGACACTGCCTCTACTCCCACTCTGCACAATCCTTGTGAGATAAGTGCTGTTCAAGCATGCTACCCTGGTCTACAAGCACAGGTTTAGAAAGAGGTGTCCCGGACGTTCCCATGCCTGCCAGGTTCCCCAGAGGCTTATTTTCCTATCAGCTCCCATTCTACTGCAGCGTCTTCTCCTGGGACAGGCTGTGGTCAGACCATTTAATTACAGTTTCCTAAATACACTATAAGGTACCAATAATCTTGTAAAATAAGATGGCCACAGGTCCCTGCAGAAGTGATCCTATTCTAAAGGAATCAAAAAATATTTGCCACTTAAAGAAAAAAAGCAAAACGCTTACCTCAACGCCATCAAACTCAAACTTGACAGCTGGTACATACGCATCTTCAACTGCCTGTAAAGGAGCAGGTGACTGTGTAAGAAAATATCTTTAGTTACTTTCATGTTCTTCCTAAACTGTGATAAACTACAGAATTTACACTGCTGACCTAATTAGTATAAAGACTGAGTTGCTTCTGAATCAAAAAAAATTGTTAGTAAGCTGCAAGCAGTATGGCACTAATATAGTACTAATACTGGCTTTAAAAAGTTACTTAGCCAAGAGATTCAGAGGCTGATCCTGTGTTGTAATGAACCAACAGTGCACAAGGAGCCATCAGTGTCAGTGCTTGTAAGGCACTGACCTTGGCAGTGAGGAAGAAAAGGAAGATATTTCCCTGGCTATCTTACCACTGGTTAACATCCAGAGAAATCTCAAAAGTTCTGTCCACATCTGACAGGGCACATTAGCCTTCTGTTAAAGGATTTTACCAGACTCTGGGTATCTCTAGCCTTGCTTTATTGACATCTCAGAGTTGGGCCATCACCTCAGTGAGTGCCAACAGCTGACAAAAAGCATCTTATATTGATAGGATTCTTCATAACATGCAATACAATACCAATTCATCATCAATTTCAGAAGTCCATTATATTCCAGAGTTCTGACTAGTTCTCGTTCTGCTCCGGTTCCTCTTCTGACATGGCTGCTCACTGATGCAGTCTTCGGTCATCATGATTACTTATCTTCAGTATTGTTCCTAGAGCACCTGTGTGGTATAAAACAATATCTATCTATTAATATTCCTGCTATTAATAATATCCTAAGAGAAAAGAGATTTCTAAAGATTATTCCTTTTACACCTTCCTTATTTTGATTTTCTACCATGCCTGAGGGGCTCTAAGATACCTCATGGGACAGTTTTCAGTTTTGTAGGCCTCTTGTTAGAACTGTGTGGCAGCCCACTGAGAGTCTGTTCTCAGGTGACAGTCATTCTAGCAAAGGCTCATTTGCTGTGCACATGAAGTCTTTCAAAATGTCTGCACGAGGAAGACCAGGCTAAGAGGAACACTTATCAGGAGTCCAGTTTCACACCCAAGGTATGCAATAGATGCACCTGAGGGTAATTTTACAAAGCAGTTTGTACGTTCACAGCGCAGCCCCTACTCACTTTATGTAAAGCTGACAGTGTGTGTCCCTTCTGCAACATCTCAGGCTGAGCGGACAGAGAGGAACATGACCGGGGAGAATGAACTAGAGGTTCTAAAGTACATCCGGACTGATGCCACAGCAAAGGTGCTGACAGAAACCTTTCCACATCTGTTCTGCTGATTAAGGATACCAATTAAACTCAGACATCAGAGTGAAAAGAGCAGGCGTATTTTACTAGTGATAACCAATGTAACAGTGTAATACAGAAAACATGCAGCAAGAAAAAGCAGAATAGTGCACTTAAAGCAGCAAACAGGAGAATACAGGGTAATGCATCAAATCATTACTGCACGAGAGAAAGAATTACGAAAAATACATCACCACTTGCATATATTATCATCACCCAGGCCCGCAGTGGCTGGGCAGCCCCGGTTACAGTGAGGGTTTGGAGATCCTGTCCCGGCAAGTGGGAAATCCTACGCAGTGCGTCCACCCGTAGGTGAGGCTTCCAAAGTCGCTGTGAGCGGGTCCAGCCTTATATACCAGAGATCGACAGGCCAGGATAGCTGGCACCTTTGTTGTGAGTGGAAAATTTCTGGTTTCATTCTTCTGTTGGATTCCACCCAAAGCCTGGCCAGGGCTCAGGGGGGGAAACCAAGGGAGTTTCTAATAAGGCCAGATACGTGGGTTCTCAGCCTTGAACAAGGCTAAACAAGGGAAGTTGGAGACATTCTCTCCTCACTCCTGATCATTTTCATCACCTTCATCACTCCTTCATCACTCCTGATCATCTACATCACCTTCAACTTCCTTAGTTTTCAGACTGCCCCTTCCTCTTCCTGCCCCTTACTATCTTGACTTCTCACATGCTGCAGGGAACAGTACGGTACTCAGAAACACTTGCTTTTTAAATTTGGGCTTGTAAGACATCCCCTACCAATATGAGTTTTTAATGTGAATATTCTTTTTGTAGAAGTTACACAATTATCAAGGAGAGAGCTCAGTCGCTCTTAGATTTTTTATTTCCTCCTGATGTTTTAGTATTTCAAAGAACGACTGAAAAGAATCTGATCTTTCTATATGTCTAGGAGCAACAGAAACCACATCTCTGCCACCACCTGCAAAGAGACTTCACTTCTTCTGTTATTGTTGGAAGTCACTTTCAAACACCAGAACTATCACCAGACAAAGAAAGTTCCACCTTTAGTGTGTGCTCTGAGCCAGTAAGATCCCAATGGTACTATTTTGCCACCAACACTCGCTGCTGCTGAAGGGGAAGATTCTGTGGATAGAAGAGAAAGAGTTTACTTCAGAATATAAGATACACATTGATCTATGCACAAGTTCAGGTAGCATACCAGTTTTTTAGAAAGACTACAGCAGCCTCCATAAGCAATGTCTTCTCACTCCCTACTGAGTTGTTAGTCCAATAGACTGCTACTGTTTTTCTGAAGTGAGTGCTTGCAATTAAAAAAAAAAAAAAAAGTAAAGTAGCAATACTTTCATTATTTTACACAAATTAAGACCCATTCTTAGTCTTCCCCACAGCAGACACACATAAATTAACACAATTTAAGAGCTATACAAAGGGAAAAACTAGTGTAATCATTTCAAACTAGATGGGGTGCTGTAGGCTGTTGGGGGGGGGTGGTGTGGTAAAGATTAGTGCCATTGACAATCTATCTCACCCCACAATACATTGTCTAAGCTTCCTTAACTGCTGCAAGTCAATTAATAAAGCCAGTTCACAGACTTATTCAGTGCCCCAAGGACTTCAAGATCTCGATCTGAAGTATCTTTTATACCTTATTTCAATGGCAGTTACTATAGCTCTACTCAATACTTAAGAGTTAAAAGTTGAACTTCAACATAAATCCTAGTAGTATGGCCTTTGAAAGAAATAAAAAGGCTTCAGCTCTTTTGATAAGAACATATAAAAAAATCCTTCCCTTGCTCTCACTAAGTTCTGAAATCCATTCATTGACTAAGGGATTCAGATTACCAAGAACAACCAGACTGTAAAGAAAAGTCATGTTAACCTTGCCCTAAAAACCCAAGAGGTTAACAAATCTGAAAGCCTTGTTATACCTGTGACTCAGTTCTTGCCCATCTTTCAATGCCCCAGATGGCTTTATTGCTTCAACTAGCTTCTGAGTATGGATGCAGTCTATATCCTTAGGAGGAGCCAAGATAATCAGAGAAATAATTCCATAGTGCCTCTGAGGCTGGTTCTGCAGTTTAGAATTACTGTGGGAGAAAATAAAATACTGAAGGCTTCACAAAAGAAAAAAAAAAAAACCAAACCAAAACAACCAACAAATCCTTTCTGGAAAACATCCTTCAGTTTACAGGTTTCCAAATCAGCGTCTGTTCTCATTTATATTAATGTTGGGTAAAAGAAAAAAAAATTGTCCTGCTTATGAGTTTTAGATAACTTGACCTAATTTAGAAGTCACAACTACTTTTTCAAAAATATCTGTGGATGTAAGAAAAGATACAGGTTGCTACCATTTTAATAAAACTTATTTGCATTGCTCTGGACAGTTAGAACTGATCACCAGAAAATGAAAAGGTTTGAAATCCACCGAGGGTGACACTACATACAGCAGAAGTTTTGGACACGTTTCAGTTTCGTATCAGATTTGATTTAAGGATAATTCCCAACAGCTTCCTGCTAACATTCAATAAGACCATTTACCACTGGCTTCTTTTAGTTCAACCTATTTGCTGTGCTTCTGATTCTGGAAGGTAGCTGATTGCAGAGGAAGGACATAATAACCCAGTGCTCTGTTAAAGAGTTGATGCAGTACATTCAGCATTGCCTTCTTTTTGCTTATGGAAGAGTGTGAATCAAAATATCAACCAATCCACAGCTAATTGTGTTAGAGGAGCCTCATGCACTAAACACAGTGTTTCATTTTTATAGTTCAGAGGCTTAGCTGTACATACATCTGTTTGGTCTAAATCCAAGAGACGTATCTCAGCATATAAAGCGGCACAAGTTAAGCTCCTTATGCAGAGGCTGTTCCAACCTGGCTTAGCTAGCTCACTGCCCAGTTAGGCTGAGCAGGACAGCAGGCACCTGGCTTTGGAGCCCCTGGAACTCCAGTGACAACAAGGCATAATTTGTGCCTCCAACCCTCCAAACATTTGTCCTGCGTGTTTAGACTTACAGTCAGAAGCGGCACAGGACTGACATGACAGGACAACATTAAATCAAAGGCAGCATTCACATTTTTTTTACACCACAGAACCCTTGCTTTAGAAAAGGAAAAATGGAGAAGAAAACCCTACTTTGCCATTACCAGCTGAAACCAGGAGAAAGGAGCAGGACAGGAGGGAAGCACTCTACTAACAGATCAAGGGTCTCTACAGAAACACCAGTAGCAAAAGGGGGAGAGACACATTAAAAGGTCTGTACAACTCATCATGCTTGTCAGAGTCCACATGCAAACCCTGAGGCTAAAGGGATTAACGATGCCGTTATTCAAACTGGCTCTTTTTCTACTTCACAGACAACCAGCCTCAAATATTACATAGGCTAGTCACAGAATCATAGAATGGGCTGGGCTGGAACGGACCTTAAAGCCCATCCTGTGCCACCCCCCTGCCATGGGCAGGGACACCTTCCACTAGCCCAGCTTGGCCAAAGCCCCGTCCAGCCTGGCCTTGAACCCTTCCAGGGAGGGGGCAGCCACAGCTTCTCTGGGCAACCTGTGCCAGGGCCTCACCACCCTCACAGGGAAGAGTTTCTTCCTTACATCCAACCTAAAACTGCCCTCTTGCAGTTTAAACCATTACCCCTCATCCTATCACTACACCCCCTCATCAAGAGTCACCCACAGGAGCCCCTCCCCTGCTACACACAGAGCCAATACAGCTGTGAAGGGATTTAAAAGCCACACAAGCTGTTGACTCTTGGTTTGTTGATCCAAGATCTGCTGGCATAAGAAACATAGCAAAGCAATCTCTTGCTTCAGCTTAGATGAAGAATTATGCTTCAACCATACAAATGAACTCACGGGAAGTGCAATGTAACCCATTTTCTGTGCAAACCTTAGCAAAGCCCAGCTCTGACCCCGTCTGCACATTTTTACAGGGGAACCATCCTGACTCTTCCACCCAGAGAAAGTCACTATAGGAATTAATGCAGCAGGATGCAGAGACACCGGGATTGACCCAGGCATCGTGAAAACAAGGA